ACGGCTTTCCTACGTCTTTCTGACTCACTTCATTCTTTGGCCCAGGCCCATAAACATGATAAATGATTTTTAATTTACTAGTTGAAATCAGAACAGTAATGGAGTTTTCTTTAATTTAATTAGTGGATATTGACAAGAAAAAGACAAACTAAATTTAAAATATTCAGCCATCATATAAATTTACCAGTAATTAATAGCTACTGTAAGACATAACCTAAAAATAGTTAATTAGTATGAAAACGTTTATTTTCTCTGTGAGATGGTATTTTTCCGCTTTATTAATTTATGAGTTGTAATTAAAAATTGGGGGAAAAAATAAAGAAGATGGAAAATGAGTTGCCACTTATTGTCGGCCCACACATACACTGCTAAAAGAGAAAAGTATATTGAAAAAAAGGTATGATTCTTTTGTCATTACATGATTTGCTTTTCTTTCTTCATAACACTTACTGATATTTACGGGAAGCCGAAAGTTTTATTAACTTATCTATGGTTAACAATTTCGATGAGATGATTGTTAGATTGGTAACTAATCCTTATCCGTTGCCCTTTTTAGGTAGGAGAAAAACAAAACGAAATTTATTGATTACCTATTTAGCAAAAAAAAAATTTATACTTGTTATAATTAGTGATGATAACAATCCAACGCAATGCTTTAACAAAAACAAACAATCTAACACAATGATCAGATTGATACATCCCCGCATTAACAATCGAAATATTAATATATTGTGTCTTGTCCTGTAAATTTATCATAAAACTAAATTGATAAATGCTTCCACAATGTTATTACTATTTTTGTTGTTATTATAGTTAGTCTTTCCTCAGTTGATCCCTATATCCCAAAAGGAAAATCAAAGTATATACTTTTTGTTATCGACTTATCGTGTGATGAGGCCTCCCTAGTCTCTAAGTCTAATCTCCAATATCTTAAAAGAACCTTATTAATTTGAAAATCTCAGCAGTAACATTTAAACACAATTATCTAGCTATTAAAAATTAATTTAAAAAAAAAAAGAATAATCGGTGCATGCTTTGATAATTTGGAAACAAAAAGAATCATCTGCCTTTAAGAATCTAAAGATGGCGAGATATATCTCCTATTGAAATATTGAAATCAGAGACAAATCTAGCATTACCACGCCCAAATCCGCATGGCTTGCAAAAGTGTTTGAAAAGTTAGTATTTAAAATTTACAACAAATAAGTATATTCCAAGAAAATCAGGAAAAGATTATTTTACCTACTAAATCTAAATGCCCGATAACAGTTAGTGACTAGTAATTAACTCTGATTAATTAATATAACTACGTTTGACTGGTTACTTATAAGTTATAACTATATTACGGCATTCGATTTTCGATATCAAATTAATGTAAACATGTGTAATTTGTGATCTCGCAGTCATATGATTTATAAGACCTCTAACAATTATTTGCCTTAACTTACATCTGCAAGTGTTAGAACGAGAGTAAAACATTTGATGTTTTGTCTGTTTGTTCAAGTTTATAAAATAGTACCGGTAAGAATAGTAACATTTTGTTTTGGTTAAGGGTAGAACAATACAATTATTCAACTATAATTAGTTTGAGGTCAGGGCGTATTAAATATGAATTACAAGTGGGTGTCTTTAAAACGATATCAGATTCTGATTTGATGGGATCCTCAACGGTTCACAAATCACCTCTTTGAAGTTTTTTTAATATCAAGACAAAACAAAAATTAACGAAAGCATTCGAATATTATTTAATAAAATGCGATGTGCTTACTTTGGGTCTCTTGGGATAAAATCTGGGCCGTCTAATTTGGTGGGTGCACACACCCAACTTGTCTTCAATTGGAATATATGAATATATCTGATAATGATACCAATTAATACCATATATAAAATCTTATGCTTCGAGTCTCCAAAATAAGAAACTCGTTTGGAAATAAACTAATGTTTTAGCAATTAGAACAAAAACTAATGTTTTCTCAATTAGAAAAAAAAACACTAATGTTTTATGTTGACAAACAGTTAATATCTGAAGAGCATATTGTTCTAAAAAAAAAAAATTGAAAAGCATATTGTAACTTCAAATCATAAGGATTAAGGAGCATGTACTTACTTTGACAACAACAACAAAAAAAAAAAGAAGAAGCATATCTACGATGATTTTGTTTATTTTTTACGTACTATTTTCCATTTAAAATGGACCTCAACAAGACATTACAGTATGGAATTGATTTTATTTTGTTAGGAAGAAGAATATATATCTACAATAATAAGAGCATGATTACAGGTGGTAAATATGATTGGAGTAATATATGAATTTTATAATATTAATTGTATTGGAATTGATGAAT